TCTCCCATGTCCAAGGCATAAAAATAGTCCATAGTGCTGCTGTCTTACATACTTGGGGAAATGCAGAGATTTGTTAGATGCAACTGTTGCTTTCCAAAAGTAGTCCAGGCATATCACCACGCATAAGCACACAAGGCAAACAGGGATGAATACTACATTTGGGCAATAGGTGGAACCCCCTCTGGCCTCTGTGGGGCTGAAGAGGGGCTGGCTCTAAAACTCCTCTCAAATCAGGTTTGCCCTTTCTCCACCTGGAGTCCCTGGTCCACATAAAGTTCAAGTGCCAAAACCATGCTTCTTTGACCCAGTGAAGGGGAAAGTGGCAGGAAAGATGATGGATAAAAATCTACTGACAAAGCTGTAATTTTTCTTGCCAAACATCTTACGTCTCCCAAGGACCTTTTTCTGTCACACATATGTGTCTGAAAGTGATCCATCCCATGAAAAATATTGGTCGTCAGGCCTAAGGATGAGAATTACACATAGCAGAGGACAATTTTCACTCCCTTTAAGAAGTAAATGAACTATAATGCCTATAAATAGCTGTCCCCACAGAGCAGCTGAGTTTAGAGGACACCCTAGCCAGCAGGGGTGAGTGATATTTTTGTGCAATCAGGAGAAATAGCTTAAACAAACATTACTTCCCAGTGAGACATCCATCCGTCAGTTCATCAAGGCAAGAACTCCAGATTCTGAAGAACTTGGCATTAAATGGATCATGAAGTTTTTCAATACCTTGAGGATTCAACTGTGCCTAGAGCCCTGGAGATTTCATACTCTGTTCCAAGTACTGCAGGGTTCACTGATAATTCCGAAGAATATCAAAGTTAATGTCAAGTTAATGTCATTAGAAGAACAAATATATTCCCACTGCATTTTCATTTTCACAAGTAAAAGCAACTTGAGTAGTGAGGCAGTAAGGGTATTCAATGTGTCTTACTGGGCTGTTATCTGAATGGTTGTCTATGTTTTCAAATTCCAATGAAGAACATGGAATAGCTTCAATTCTGGTCATGTACCTGTAGAGTCAAAATTGCACCTGCATCATTTAGGGCCCCAGTTGGGCCTGAGAATTAAATTGGCATAGACAGATTAGCAGCAGAAAAGCTTATAAACTTACTTTACACAAGTTTTACAGGCCACGGGAGCCCTCATAAAGAAAGAAAGACCCAAAGCAGTTGTTAGAGTCAATCCCTTATGTACTGAATTGGGCAAAGAATAGTAATTTGAGCAATGTGATGAGGCAAAAGTGCTTGGACTAGGGGAGTTAGTTGGGTAGAGAAGTGACTAGGAAGGTAAGGGTTAGTTTAATAAGATTTAATAAATCTTTCTTTGTAGAGATTTCTGTTGGCTTCTACGTTCTGCTTGGCATGATGAGAATTTTTTGTGATAGAAAGACCATCTTTCATATGGGAATTTTATGTCCTTTTAAAGAGCAGAATGAAGATCTGAATGATTTTCTTGCACATGTAGTTTTTAACTATTTTTAACTTAAATAATCAATAAGCCAGAGCAGCATATTTTGGGGATGGTACATTTCATAACTACTGCACTACCAAGAACTACATTAAAAGCATTTCAATTTTTTTTTCTATTTTACATTTGATGACCTCACCATCTCTAGCCTTTTTCTTCCAACTGAGTGCTTTACTTCTATTTTTGTGATTTTTACCTTACTATCTGAGCCAAATTATTTGTGTCCATCACAGAAAGTTGTTTAAATGGAATTCACTTCCCTTAAAGCTTATAGGGGAAAAAAAAAAAACAGCACTCTGGGTGGAAAAAAAGAAACCTAGTTCCATGCAATTGTTGCCTCATAATGGTCAGTTCCGAGGTAAACGGGAAACTGCAATCACTCTGTTAAGAAAGCCAAGCTTTGGGGCCAGCATTTGGCATAGTGGTTAAGGCACTAGACTCCTACATGGCTGACCACAGTTTGAGTCTCAGACCTGGCAGCTGGAAAATCATGCTGGGTGGGACCAGCAGTTAGCATAATGGCTACGTCACTGAACTCCTATGTAGTTGACTGCGGTTTGACTCCTGGACCTGGTGGCTTAAACTCACGCAGGGTGCATGTGCGTGCGTACCCAAGATCCCGAGGACAATGGAGGAGAAGGGATTGTGGCATGGCTATCCCCCCTGAGGGGTTATTTCTCACTTTCTGTCTCTCCGTCTCTGTCTCTCTGGCAAGCACACGTGCCCTATAGCAAAAAAAAAAAAAAGAAAAAAGAAAGAAAAGAAAATCAGGCTGGGTATATGTGCCCAAAATCCCAGGAGAGGAATGGAGGAGAAGATACTGCAACATGGCCATCTCTTCTGTGGGGTGATTTCTCATTTTCTCTCTCCCATGAACACACATGACCTATGGCAACAAATCTTAAGAAAACAAAACAAACAAAAACCAAACAAAGCCAACTTCCTTGGTCCTACCTCGGTAGCACAGTTGGTAGGGTGCTACCATATTATAGTGGAGCTATAGAGGAGGCTCACTTCAGATCCCAGGATGAGCTGAATGAAGAGGGCCTATCTACATACACCCATGATTTTAGCTGACTAGGAGGTTTGAGGCAGGATCACTGCATAGTGAGATCCTGTCAAGGGTACTTCTCCCTCTCCTCTTTCCTTCTCAGGAAATGAATAGAATATACTTAACAGAAATAAAGAAAAAGAAGCCAACCTCTTTTCTATAGACCTGTTTGGCAAAAGTAGGAAGAACTGTATATTCTTTGAATCTGTGACTTCTGTGACTGAGATAATTCCTCACTGCACTTGTTTCTAAGTCATAATCCAATCTAGGATACTGTTGAGGTGCCCCTAAAAAGTCCTTAATAAACGTCTAAAAACCACGTATTTTATTAATATTAGAAAGTGAATGTATACTTTAGAAAACAATGTGAATAACAACAAATATTCAGAATTATTTTGTTCATTATTAGAATAATAACTTTCATAGTTATGTGGTGATTTGAAGATCTGAATCTGGATTTCTATTCTTCCATTTACTAGCTATCTGACTTTAGATATCTTGTTACACTACTCTGGGTTTTATTCAGTTGTTGATCTTCCAAATGAAGATAGTTTTACTTTGTGACTTCAAAGTATTTGTTTAATGAACAAGAAAAGAAAAGAATGTGAAAATGCCATTTAAACTATATGAAGCTGTCAATTATTATTAAGATAATTCAACAAATAGGCTTCATATATTAATGCTTTTGTTTGTATCAATGTGGTGATAAGTCCTATCTGCTCTACATTGTTAAATTAAACTATTTTGGCCTAAAATGGCTGTTGTACTCCCTCACTTAAATTCCTATGGGTAAGCTGAAATCATACATGTTAGACTGTTTTCCTGATCCGGTTGGTAAGTTATAGCCAATCACACTTTGGCCACACTTTGGTCAATCACAGAAGGCCCAACTTTTGGGCTATTTGTGCAGTCAACCATCCACCTGTAACCAATTCAATTGTTTCTCTACTTCATTCCTTCACTTCTGATTTTGTGCATCATTTTCCCTTTACCAGAACTTAAATACCAAGTTGACCATGAGGCTAGTCAGAGTAGTCTGAAAGTCCAGGGTCAACTATCTGATTCAAATCATTGTTAAGATTTGCTCAATTAAAATTCTACTCTATTAAATTGGCTGGTTTATTTTCTTCTAATAGTTTTGGTGTCAGATGTGGGACCTGAAGTAGAGCTTCCAGTGACCCCCAGGAGCTTTGTGTGTGACCATGCAAGGTACCTGTGGGACCCTTTGTCATCCATTGATCTCTTGCAGCAACTGGGGATCATAAGTTCTTTCTCAGATTTGAGCTTTACAGACTTACATTTAGAGCTCTCTGAGTTTTATATAAGCAAATTTTGGTCTAAACTGGGTTCAGAGTTACCAAAAACTTGGGCTGGGTTCAGAATTAGATTAGATTAAGTAATTAACTGAACTGGATTCAATTGTCTGACCCAGACAGAAACTAGCAGAAAGTGGCTATTACTGTGGTGGATACAATAAAATTTTATGTTAAATTTTTTTGTGTTTGGGGGGTGTACCAGCAGATAGTATAATAGTTACATCACTGGACTCCCATGTAGTTGACTGTGGTTTAAGTTCTGGACCTGGAGGCTTAAAATTCACATCAGACATGTGTGTGTGTGTGTGTGTGTGTGTGTGCTCAAGATCCCATGAGGAGAATGGAGGAGAAGGGATTGTGGTGTTGCCAAGCCCTGGGTGTGGGGAGGTGATTTCTCGCTTTCTCACTCTCCCTATCTGTCTGGTGAGTGCATTTGCCCTATAGCAAAAATCTCTTTCTCAAAAAAAATTTTTTTTTCCCACATGAGATTTTTATGCTCAACATCTTAATTTCTTTTTTTCCTGCGTGCTTAGTTAAAAAAAAAAAATCATGGAGTAAATTGATTAAGGCAAGCTTAGGGCCAAAGCCAAGATAAATTATTTCCCACTTAGGTATTTCTTGGCTTGAAGAGACTCAAAATTTATGTAAAAATAAAATTCCTAATTCTAAAGATCAAAATATTTCCTAGAAGCTACAATATTTACAAAAATGGTAAGGTCTTCATAGTATCATTTAAAAGTTCTATGGCCATAATGAAAAACATTCTTTATAAACAAAATTGCTCTTTAAAAAGCATGATTAAAATTGAAGGCTCCCAATTAGGTCCATCCAAAAATGCCCATTGATATACAAAAGCTTTTAAAGGGTTTAATTTTATTTTATCTTTTTTAAGATTCTATAAAAAATAAATAATAAGCTTAAGTGGCCAAGAAAAAAATAAAAAGTTCTACCAAAGTTTTTGCTTTGTTACTAGCCTACCCAAAGTGAAAAGAAAGCTAAATAAAACATGTATTAACATGTTTTAAAATACACCCACAGATCAAACTGGGTTGTTTCTTGTTTAGCAATATCTGAGAGATATCCATGCTAAATTAAAAACATTGAAAATGGTTTCTTTGCCTTATTTAATGTGCTCCAACTTACAGTCAGTAATTAATGTGCTTACTTCAGCAGCATATATACTAAAATTGGAACAATACAGAGAAGAGTAGCATGGACCCTGTGCAAGGACGACATGTAAATTCATGAAGCATTCCATTTTTTTTTTTATTATCATAATCTTCTTTATATTACATTGGATTACATATAACTTTACATTGACTTCCATTGCTTTTTCAAAAGGGAATGCCATGCATGTCAGTCAATACAGAGGCATCGATCTCCCCGCTTTATCATTCAAAGTCTTTTCCATGCATTTCCCAATAATTATTATTATTATAATTTTTTAAAACAGTCAATCACTATTTCTCATTTTGCTTGTTAAAAGACTTCACCCATCATGAAATACTTCCCAGACCAGTCCAGTTGAGAATACTATACATGTCCACTGTCCATAGGTAGATAAAATCCTTCTCTACAGTGTATTTCTCAGTTGGTTTAAGGCAGTTAAAGGTTCTTTCTGTTGCTTATAGTTGCAAGTTCTTAATCCTTCTCTTCAGTTTCAGCTGGCTGGCCC